GGGACAGGGCTGGGGACAGGATTGGGGTACAGGGCTGGGGACAGGGCTGGAGACAGCTGGGGACAAGGCTGGGCCGGGACTGGGGACAGAGATGGGGACAAGGCTGGAGGATAGGATTGGATACAGCTGGGGACAGGGTTGGGGGACAGTTTGGGACAGGACTGGGGACAGGATTGGGGATAGGCTGGGGACAGGGTTGGGGGACAGGACTGGGAACAGCTGAGGACAAGCTGGGAACAGGATTGGGGGCAGCTGGGGACAGGACTGGGGGCGTGACTGGGGACAATCCAGGGGGACGATCCTGGATCCAGGGCTGGGAATGTCCCAGGGTGTTGCCTGTGTCCAGGTATCCCCAATGCCCCTGCTGTCCCCTGTGTGTCCCTGCTGTCCCCTGTGTGTCCCTGCTGTCCCCTGTCTGTCCCCATGTCCTTGCTGTCCCCTGTCTGTCCCTGCTGTCCCTGTGTGTGTCCCTCTGTCCCTGCTGTCCCCTGTGTGTCCCTGTGTGTCCCTGATGTCCCCTGTGTGTGTCCCTGATGTCCCTGTGTGTGTCCCTGCGTGTCCCTGCTGTCCCCTGTGTGTTCCTGTGTGTGTCCCTGCTGTCCCTGTGTGTCCCTGATGTCCCCTGTGTGTGTCCCTGATGTCCCTGTGTGTGTCCCTGCGTGTCCCTGCTGTCCCTGTGTGTCCCTGCTATCCCCTGTGTGTCCCTGTGTGTGTCCCTGATGTCCCCGGTGTGTCCCTGATGTCCCCTGTATCCCCTGCCTGTCCCCGCTGTCCCCTGTGTGTCCCCCATGTCCCTGATGTCCCTGTGTGTGTCCCTGCTGTCCCCTGCGTGTCCCTGCTGTCCCCTGTGTGTTCCTGTGTGTGTCCCTGCTGTCCCTGGTGTGTCCCTGATGTCCCCTGCGTGTCCCCCATGTCCCTGATGTCCCTGTGTGTGTCCCTGCTGTCCCCTGTGTGTCCCTGCTGTCCCCTGCTTGTCCCTGATGTCCCGGTGTGTCCCTGTCCCCAGGGGCCAGCAGTTTGCGCAGCAGATGCAGCAGCAGAACCCCGAGCTCATTGAGCAGCTGCGCAGCCAAATCCGCAGCCGGACCCCGAGCGCCAGCAACGAGGAGCAGCAGGAGTGAGGTGGGGATTGATTATTGGTTATTGGTTATTGATTATTTATTGATTCAGTACAGGAATTGATAACTCAGGAGTGAGGTGGGAATTGATTATTGATTATTGGTTATTGATTATTGATTGATTCCGTACAGGAATTGATAACTCAGGAGTGAGGTGGGGATTGATTATTGATTATTGGTTATTGATTATTGATTGATTCCGTACAGGAATTGATAACTCAGGAGTGAGGTGGGAATTGATTATTGATTATTGGTTATTGATTGATTGGTTATTGATTGAGGACAGGAATTGATAAATCCAGTTCTAATCAGGCAGCAGTGAGGTGGGGCAGGAGCAATCATTGATTATTGATTGATTGATTGATTGATTGATTGAATACAGGAATTGATAACTCGGGAGTGAGGTGGGGCAGGAGCAGGGCCATTGGTTATTGATAGATTATTGATTGATTATTGATTGATTCAGTACAGGAATTGATTACTCCACAGTGAGGTGGGGCAGGATCAGTGCCATTTATTATTGATTGATTATTGATTGATTGATTGATTCAGTACAGGAATTGATAACTCCAGTTTGAGTCAGTCAGGACTGAGCTGGGGCAGGCATCAGTGGCTATTGATCATTGATTGATTGATTCAGTACAGGAATTGATAATGTCAGTTTGAGTAAATCAGGAGTGAAGTGAGGCAGGATCAATCATTGATGATTAATTGATTATTGATTGATTGATTGATTGATTGATTCAATACAGGAATTGGTAACTCCAGTTCTAATCAATTAGGAGCGAGGTGGGGCAGGATCAATCATTGATTATTGATTGACCGGTTGATTCAATACAGGAATTGATCGTGTCAGTTTAAGTCAATAAAGTTTTAAATTTCTGTTCTAAATTCTTGAGAATTTAAATTTAAATGTTTTAAATAAAGTTAAATTACTATTTAGATCCAAATTTAAAATAAATTAAATATGCAAATGGAAAAGAATTAAAAAATTGAATTAAAATTAATTAAGTTAAAATCATTGAAATAATAAAATAATTTTAATTAATTAAAGCAATTTAAATCATTATTTTTATTTGAATTTAAAATAATGAGAAGGAGTTAAAATAAAATAAAATTTAAATAAAATTTTAAATACGTAAAATAATAAAAATTAAATAATAATAAATAAAATGATTATATAAATATATATTATATAATTTTATATGTTAATATATTAGTGTTGTAATTATAATAGTAATAATTAAATAATAATGAAATTCGTATTAAAATTAATCATGAACATAATAATAATAAAATTAATATTAAAAATAAAACAAAAATAAATTGAAAAAAATTGAAAATAAATTAGATTGAAATACAATAAAATAAAGTCAAAATAAATAAGTTAAATTAAAAGAAAATAAATATAAATAAATAATCCAGATGAAACTGATGAAATTCCCTTTTCCCCAGGTGAATTCCCTGTTTTCCCTCTCTCCACAGCCCCTGGAAATTCCAGAATTTGCTTTTCCAGCTGGGAGCCACCTCCGTGTTGCCAATTCTTGACTTGGAAGTGTCCAAGAGGGGGAAAAAACCCAAAACTCCAACGGATAAAAACCACAAAAATTCCCAAATCTTCCCATGCCCTGCATGTCCCTGAGAATTCCCATTTCCCTCCCTTTTTCCCCTTTTTTCCCCTTTTTTTCCCCTTTTTTCCTCTTTTTCAGGTTTATTTTTTGGGGTTTTTTTCCTGGCAGCCCCAGCAGAGCTGAACTCAGAATTCTGTTGGGAAATTCCCAAATCCCTGCAGGATTTGCTGCCTGGGGGGGTTTTATTCCCAATTTTTTTTTGGTTTTTTGGAGCATTTCCAAGTGAATAATTCTCTTTTTTTTGCCCCAATTTTCCCCTCGGGAGCCACTTCCAAGAAGTGTTTGAGTTCCTGCTCATCCCCACCCTGGAATTCCTGGGATTTTCCATCTCTGGAAATGAAGATTTTGCTCCAAATCTGGGATTTTTTGGGAATTTTGCTACGTCCCCCTCTCCAGGATCCACGGGGGAGTCAGGACTGAACCTCCCCCAGGCATTTTTGGGGTTTTTTTCCCAATCCCAAAAAATCCTGGAAAATCCCATTTGAGTGTTCAGCAACTCTGGCAAAAATGGGGATTTCTCCCTTGGAATGTGAGCAGGGAGGGAGTGAAGGTGTTTTTAGTGTGTTTAAAGGAGTTTTTTCTGAATTATTTTGATTTTTTTTTTTTTTTTAATTGCATGTCAATGATCAGCCTGGCTGGGCTGGGGGTGGAATGAATCCAAAATCCCCCTTTGGATCCAAAATCCAGGATTTGGGCAGGGAGAAGCTCCTGGAGCCACCTCAAATCCCAGCTGGGGGAAACCAGAGGGAATTTTTTTAAAAATCCAAAATGGATTTAAATCCAAATTTTGGCTCCTGGGGGATGAGGAGCCCCTCTGGAACGTTGGGGAGACGGAAAAAATCATGGAAAAAAGTGATTTTTTTTGGTCGAGGCTCCGTGGAATTCATGTGGTTCGTGTCACTCGTGAGGAATAAAAACCATTTGGACACTTTGGTTGTTATCCCTGCGTGCTCAGGTGATTTTCCAGAACTTTCTGTGGGCTCTGGGTCTGTTTGGGTGCACATTTTATTCCCATTTTCCCCAATTTTTTTGTCCTTCCCAGCAGGAATTCTCCTCCTGCGTGTTCCTACAGCACAAAAATAAGAAAACTTTTATTTTCCCTCCATTTCTCCTTCCCTAAATTGCTTTTAATTTCTCTCCAGCTGCTTTTTTTGTAGCCCCACCAAAGGAATTTCAGACTGGAAATGAAAATATTCTGGAATTATCCAAAAATGTGGAAACCACGGTGCCATTTTCCTGCTGTTTTCAGCTCATTTTGTGCTGTTTCCTTTCCTTCGCCCTCCTGGCTCTTTCCTGACCCGTTTTTTAAATATTTTTTTGTATTTTTCCTCCTTTCTAAATTGGGATTCTCCAGCCCTGAATTCCAGGTGAGATTTTCCAAGGAATTCCTCCTGCCCTGCCTGGAGCTTTCCCTTGAACTCCATGCTGAACTGCCTGGAGTTTCCCAAAAATCCCTGAGCTGACAGCACCAAAAAAAAAGGAAAATTTATGGATTATTGTGGAATTTTATGGGATTTTCAGGTAGGCTGCAGGTCTCCCTGCAGCACCCACAGCTGCCATTGGTGCGGTTTGATCACAGAGCGGCAGGAGTACGGGGTGTGGGCGTGGCGGACGCTGTTCCAGGGATTGTTTTCCCGTTCCCGGTTCCCGTTTTTTTCCTGATTCCCGGTTTTCCCATTCCCGTTTTTCCCGGTTTTCCGGTAATCCCGGGCCCGGAACCCAGCGCTGCGGGACGCGTTTCCGGCGGAACTCAATCACCGCTTCCCCCGCGTCGTGCTGTAGGCGCGTTGATTGACACCTCTATCGACCAATCACAAATCAGCTTTCCCACCTCAGCCAATGGGAGGCCGCCGTGGGCGGGCGATGCGGGGCGGCCGGGCCGGGAGCGAGCGGGGCCGGCCGTGAGTGGGGGGGGGGGGGCGGTTACCGGGGTAACGGGGCCGAGGGGGTCGTGAGGGGATGGCGGGGCCGCGCCGGGGACCCCGGGGTCACAACGGGGCTGGGAGAACCGGGGCTACGGGGAAGGGGCGGGAGAGCGGGGCTGGGAGGTGTGAGGGGTTGGAGCCCGGCCTTGCTGTGAGGAGCCGGGGATGGGCCCGCTCTGGGTGTGAGGGGTCAGGGTGGGCCCCAAGGTCCTGTGGGGGGAACTGGGGTCCCCTCCTCATGAGGGGCTGGACCCTTTCCCCATCCTGAGGGGCTCCTGTGAGGGGCTGGGGCCGCGCCCCTTCCCCAGACTGAGGGGACGCATTTGCCTGTGAGGGTCTGGAGCTGGGCCCCCTCCCCACCTTGGAGGGTTCAGAGCAGACCCCGAACCCCTCTGAGGGTCTTCCCAGCTGAGCTCTGCCCATATGAGCTGCTCACGACCCTCCTGAAACCTCTCCCCTCATCTCTGCTCCCTTTAGGTGGGCTCAGGGTGGGCTGGGAGGAGCCCCTTCCCCATCACCCCCTTTCTAAAAGTGATAGGACAGTCTCAAAGGGCTTGGAAGGGCCGGTTTTTAACAGAAACATTGGGATTTAGAGGCTCACAAATGAGGAACCCCTTTGTTTCTCCTCCCACAGAGCTCTGCCTGCTTTATAGAATATTTCTCATCGCTTGGATGCTTCATTTTGAGCCAGTGACCCGAGCAGGAGCTGAGCTGGTCCCTTGGTGCAGCAGTTCTGGGGCTGGGGGCACAGCCCAGGTGTGCAGGAGGAGCAGGTGAGGAGTTCCCCAGATATTCCTGGGGCTTCCTTTCCCTCAGGGCTGCTCCAGCCCCATTCAGGGATGCTGGATGTGGGGGCAGGTTTGAGTTAAATATGGGGGGGAAAAGGAAAAAAACCTGAGGTTAAAGGGTTTCTGGGAGGAGCCAGGTGTGTTCCAGAGCTGTGAGCTCTGGAAAAGGAGGATTTTATCCCTTCCCTCCACCCTGGCACGGGCGTGGCTGTGCCTGGGCCCAGATTTTGGGCTTGGCCAGACCTGCAGTGAGTCAGTGTCACCTGATGGGCTCTGAATTCTTCTCCTTGTCCCTTAGAGACAAAGAATTGGGGTGGCAGCAGGTGGGGAATGGCTCCTCCCCACTGCCAGGGGCTGGGATGGGTGAGAGGTTGGGGAGGGGATGGATGGGATTTTGGGGAGAGGATGGGCAGGATTTTGGGAAGGGGATGGATGGGATTTTGGGGAGGGGATGAGTGGGATGTTGTGGAGGGGATAGATGAGAGTTTGGGAACAGGATGGGATGTTGGGAAAGGGAGGGGGATAGATGGGATATTTGGAAGGGGATGGGTGGGAGATTGGGAAGGGGATGGGTGGGATGTTGGGAATTGGGTGGGTGAGAGTTTGGGAATGGGATGGATGGGATTTTTGGAGGGGGATAGATGGAATGTTGGGAAGAAGATAAATGGGATGTTGGGAAGGGAATAAATGGGATTTTGGGAAGGAATTCCTCCCTGGGAGAGTGGGGAGGCCCTGTCAGGAATTTCCCAGTGCCTGCCACATCCCTGGAAGTGTCCCAGGACAGGGCTTGGAGTCCAGCCTGGCCTCAAAGACCTGACCAGGTGACCACAATTCCAGGGCTTTCCATCCAGTTTGAACTTTTCCCTGCCGCTTCCTCCAGCTCATAAAGGAAAAATCTCTGTGTTCTCCCCATCCCCAGGCAGCCTCTCTCCCCGAGGCCCACCCAGGCCGATGTCCCCGCTCTGAGCACACCCAGAGCGTCCCCTCAGGGCCCGGATCCGGGGCAGGATGAGGATCGTGGTGGCCAAGGTGCTGTGCCTGCTGGGCATCTGCGTGCTGGTGCTGGCCGGGGCGCTGCTGCCCGTCCGGCTCATCGAGGCCGACCACGAGAAGGCTCAGCGCTCCCGCCGCCTGCTGGCGCTCTGGAACTCCTTCGGGGGCGGCGTCTTCCTGGCCACGTGCTTCAACGCGCTGCTGCCCGCCGTCAGGGGCAAGGTGAGACCTGGGGGTGTCCTGCCTAAATCTGAGCCTGCAGGGACCCAGCTGTAGGGGCTGTGCCCACTGGAGCAGCTCTGCTGTGCCCAGAAGCTCACCGAGGGGAGCTGTGCCCACCTCCTGCCTTAATCTGAGCCTGCAGGGGCCCAGGGCAAATGGATTTAGGGGGCTCTGCCTGCTGGAGCAGCTCTGCTGTGCCCAGGCCCTCACCAAGGGGAGCTGTGCCCACCTCCTGCTCAGCTGGGAGTGGATTTAGGGGTCTGTGCCCTCTGGAGCAGCTCTGCTGTGCCCAGGAGCTCACTGAGGGGAGCTGTGCCCACCTCGTGTCTCAGTCTGAGCCTGCAGGGACTCAGGTGGGACTGGAGCTGGGGGCCTGTGCCCTCTGGAGCAGCTCTGCTGTGCCCAGGGGCTCACCAAGGGGAATTGTACCCACCTCTTGTCTCAGTCTGAGCCTTCAGGGGCTCAGCTGGGAGGGGATTTAGGGGGCTCTACCCCCTGGAGCAGCTCTGCTGTGCCCAGGAGCTCACCAAGGGGAATTGTACCTGCCTCCTGTCTCAGTCTGAGCCTGCAGGGACTCAGGTGGGAGGGGAATTAGGGGGCTCTACCCACTGGAGCAGCTCTGCTTTGCCCACGAACTCACTGAGGGGAGCTGTGCCCACCTCCTGCCTTAATCTGAGCCTGCAGGGGCCCAGGGCAAATGGATTTAGGGGGCTGTGCCCGCTGGAACAGCTCTGCTGTGCCCAGGGGCTCACCAAGGGGAACTGTGCCCACCTCCAGTCTCAAGCTGAGCCAAGGGAGATGCAGGCTAGAATTAAGGAGGAAGTTTTTCACAGAAAGAGTGGTCAAATAGTGGAATCATCTACCCAGGGAGGTGGTGGAGTCGCCATCCCTGATGTGTTTAAGGGAAGACTGGATGTGGCACTTGGTGCCATGATCTAGTTGAAGTGTTAGAACATGGCTTGGACTCGATGATCTTAAAGATCTCTTCCAACCTAAAATTCTGTGATTCTGTCTCAGTCTGAGCCTGCAGGGGCTCAGGTGGGAGTGGATTTAGGGGGTTGTGCCCACTGGAGCAGCTCTGCTGTGCCCAGGCCCTCACCAAGGGGAGCTGTGCCCACCTCCTGCCTCTCTTCGTGGAGAAAGTGGAGGTTTTTGGGATGCAGAGGAGGCTGTGGGGTGTGAGATCAAACAGCAAGAGATTCACTGTGCCCTGCCAAGGGTGCTGTCCAAGGATGTGGCAGCATTGTGGATTGATGGAGTGATGGATGAACCATCCCTGTGAGAATGGTTCCATTCAGGAGACTAAAGGGATGTGGATCAATGGGAATGTGGGAATGGGTCTGTCCAGAGGGATAAAGGGGTGGATTCACTGTGGATGTGTGGGAATGTAGGAATGGTTTAGGGGATGGATTTATTGTGGATCTGTAGGAATGGTTCTCTCCAGAGGGATAAAGGGGTGAATTCATTGTGGATCTGTGGAATTGTTCCCTCCAGAGGGATAAAGGGGCTGGATTTATTGTGGATTGATAGGAATGGGGAAATGGTTCCCTCCAGAGGGATTAAAGGGTGGATTCACTGTGGATCTGTGGGAATGGTTCTCTCCAGAGGGATAAAGAGGTGGATTCACTGTGGATCTGTGGGAATGGGTCTCTCCAGAGGGATAAAGGGGATGGATTCAGTCTGTCCATGTGGGAATGGTTCTTCCCAGAGGGATAAAGAGATGGATTCACTGTGGGAATGTGGGAATGGTTCTCCCCAAAGGGATAAAGGGATGGATTCTCTGTGGGAATGGTTCTCCCCAGAGGGATGAAGGGATGGATTCACTGTGGGAATGGTTCTCCCCAGAGGGATAAAGGGATGGATTCACTGTGGGAAGGGTTCTCCCCAGAGGGATGAAGGGATGGATTCACTGTGGGAATCGTTCTCCCCAAAGGGATAAAGGGATGGATTCACTGTGGGAAGGGTTCTCCCCAGAGGGATTAAGGGATGGATTCTCTGTGGGAATGGTTCTCCCCAGAGGGATGAAGGGATGGATTCACTGTGGGAATGGTTCTCCCCAGAGGGATTAAGGGCACATCTTTTCCTCCCTTCCAGCTCGATGAGGTGCTCAGGCAGAACAACGTCACCACGGACTACCCGGTGGCCGAGACCATCATGATGGTCGGCTTCTTCCTGTCAGTCTTCGTGGACCAGCTCTTCCTGAGCCTGCAGAAGGAGAAGCCATCCTTCATCGACCTGGAGACCTTCAACGCGGGCTCGGACGCGGGCAGCGACTCGGAGTACGAGAGCCCCTTCATGGCGTCGCCGCGCGGGCGCGCGCCCTACGGCGAGCACGGCCCGCACCCGCACGGCCTGCAGCTCCCCGAGCTGGCACGCTGCGGGCCCCGCCGCCTGCTGGGGCTGGTCTTTGCCCTCTGCACCCACTCCATCTTCGAGGGCTTGGCGCTGGGCCTGCAGGAGGACGGCAGCAGAGTGGTCAGTCTGTTCCTGGGAGTGGCCGTGCACGAAACGCTGGTGGCCGTGGCCTTGGGGATCAGCATGGCCAAGGCGTCGCTGGCGCTGAGGGACGCGGCCAAGCTGGCGGTGGCCGTGTGCCTGATGATCCCGCTGGGCATCGGGGTGGGCATGGGCATCGAGAGCAGCCGCAGCGCCGCGGGCAGCGTCGCCTCCCTGCTGCTGCAGGGCGTCGCCGGCGGCACCTTCCTCTTCGTCACCTTCTTCGAGATCCTGGCCAAGGAGCTGGAGGATAAAAGCCACCGGCTGCTCAAGGTGCTGTGCTTGGTGCTGGGTTACGCCGCGCTGGCCGGGCTGGTGCTCGTGCCGTGGTGAGCCGGGAGCCTCAGGAAGCCGAGGGAGCACAACCTCACCTCTCCCCTCCCACGGCGCCGGGAGGAGCCGCCCCTTTCACCGCTGGAACGGCCCAAGCCGGGCGGAGTTTCCGTGATGACCTGCAGGAGGAGAATCTCTTCCCGTGTGCTCAGAGTGAGGAATATCCCGAGGGATTGTCCCTGCCCGAGGGGCTGCGGGGATTAGCGGACACAAACGTTAAGGATCTGGGTAAATTCTGCTCCCAAGAGCTCCTCGAATGTGTGTGTGCCTCCCTCCTTCCCCTCGGCCACGCCCCGGAGGCTCCGAGGAGGTGAGGAACAAACAGGAGTGGAGGCAGAGCAGGTGGGAGCAGGGATTGCCAGGCTGCACTAAGCTGCTTTCGCTGGCTTAGTTGGGAGTAAAACCTGGTTGTAAGAGCTGCCAAAAATAACATCCCTGTGGGGCTCTGGCCTTCCAGGCCCTGCTGCCTCCACACAGCTTCCAATGCTCCACCTGGGGTTTGGGGAGCTCAGCTTTCCCAGGGATTCATGGAAGAAATGAGGCCAGGCCCCTCTACCCTGCTTCCTTCTCAATGTTGTACCCATAGGCTGAGCATTCCCTAAGGAAAACTTCTGAAAATCAGATCATGAATCCCAGGATGGTTTGAGTTGGGGAGGACCTTAAAGCCTGTCCAGTGCCATGGGCAGGGACACCTTCCACTGTGCCAGGGTGCTCCAAGCCCTGTCCAGCCTGGCCTTGGACACTTCCAGGGATGCAGCAGATCCTCACCTTATCCAGAGCCTGGAATCCGTGAGCTTGCAGGAATCGGGCAGTAACAATTCCCAGCACTGATATTTTGGGGCAAACTCTTTGTGTTTTCAGTGCTCTGCAGTCAGGGGGGCTGAGCTGCTCCCATCAGGGGCTGCTCCAAGGCTTTTCCAGGTTTCCAAAGGAATGGAATGATGCTGAGAGGCACGAGGAGCCCCTGGGAAGCTCCTGATCCTGCTGGATTTGCCTTTGGGAGCAAGGATCTGGGATCAGAGGCTGGAGCTGGGACTGTGCTCCCCCCGAGCTGTGAAACACAGCCTGGCTGTGTTTTGGGGCAAACTCTCTGTGTTTTCAGTGCTCTGCAATCAGGGGGGCTGAGCTGCTCCCATCAGGGGCTGCTCCAAGGCTTTTCCAGGTTTCCAAAGGAATGGAATCAAAGGGGTGATGATTGGAGATGATGCTGAGAGACACGAGCAGCCCCTGGGAAGCTCCTGATCCCGCTGGATTTGCCTTTGGGAGCGAGGAGCTGGGATCAGAGAGGCTGGAGCTGGGAATGTGCTCCCCCCCAGCTGTGAAACACAGCCTGGCTCAGGCAGGGGCTGCATTTCAATTACCCGGAGCTTTGGCTCCTGCAGCAGCCGGGCCGGGCCCTGGGAGCGCTGATGGGATTGTGGGGATGGCGCAGCGCCGGCAGCGGGAAGGAGGTGCGGAGCCTCCGCGGTGGCCCAGCTGCAGCATATGGAGGCAGCTGAGCATCATCTGACAGATCCTGGGGCTCGTTAGTTTAATTGCTGCAACATCCCCGAGTCAATTAATCTTCCTTTGAAAACCTGGAGTGGAAAGGGGAGGGGGTGGAGGGAGGTTATTTTGGGCCTGGCATGACACAAAGCAGCAGGATGAGAGGAGAACGTGATTTGCCTCGGCGTGGTGAAGCCTCGGGGCTGTTTCACCTCTCTCCTAGGGGGGAGGTGACACGGTGCTGAGTGTCCCCTGTTGGGCTGTCACCTCCGTTTCACACCCTCCTCCCGCTGCGGTTTGGGATGGGGGGCTGTGAAGTGCCAGGGGGTGCTGAGCTCCCCCATCCTCATCCCGCTGCCCTGGGGGGGTTCATCCACAGGGTGGAGGAGGAGGAGGCCCTGCTGCTCCCAATAAATTCCCTGCCCTTCTCCCCTCGCTGTCACTCGCTTTTTTTGATGTCCCCCATGGCTGCTCCGCGTCCGGCTCACGCGGCATCCACACGTGCCCGGCTCCAGCGTGGGCTGAGCCCCCTCCCCGCGCATCCATGAGCCCCCCAGAGCCCCGCTGAGCCCGGGGGCGGGGGCCAGGACCCCCCAAGCACCCCCCGCTCGGCAGCGCCGTGATTCAGCCCTGCGTGAGCGGCCGCCCCGTTGCGTCAGGCCTGGCGGGGAGCTGCGGCTCAATGGAACGAGGAGGAGCCGCAGGAAAATGATCAAGGGGAGCTCATTCATTCCCTCTAACGAGGAGGATCCGGCCGGCTCCGAGCGCGCCGGGGGGGCTGAGGCTGCCACCACCCCCCCGGCATTGTCACCTCGCAGGGCGGGGCGGGCCGATGTCCCCGTGCCCCCTCCCGTGCCCTCCCCGTTCCCGTGGGGACGCGGTGCCAACGCGTGGGTGCCACCGTGGCCCGGTGCCCGCTGGCTGCTATTAATAGAGGCTGCGGATTTTAATTGCTGCCACTCAGGAGTGGGGCGGGGGGGAGGCAGGAGCAGACCCCGGCTGTGACAGGGACCCCGGAGCCATCGGTCACCTCCAGTGGTGTGACACAGAGCTGGGGATGGTCACCCTGGGGCTCTTCTGGTCCCGTTCAGGCACTGGGGGAGGGCTCAGCCACTGCTTGAGTGTCCCACAGCCCCGCCAGGACCCCCAGTGTGTCCCCTTAAGGGTTTTGGGGCTCTGCCATGAGCAGGTGACACCAGTGTGTGACAAAGGCCCTGCGGTGTGTGCACAAGCTCCCAGCCCTGTGCTGGGGTGGCACCATGGCCTCTGTGTCCCCAAAGCCCAGCATGGCCGCCCAGGCCACCCCCAACTGCCAGTGGGGCTCACAGCACCCTGTGCCACCTGTGCCCTGCCTGGCTGGGACGTTGGTGTCCGTCTGTCCTGTCCCTCTGTCCCATGTTACCACCTGTGGGGCTTTGTCCCCATCCACGGGTCCCTTGACTGTCCCTCCTCATGTGGATTCAGTCCCCACCTGTGCAGGTGTCCGTGTGGGGTCCCTGTCTGTGTGTCCGTGTCCGTGTGTCCCCATCCTGTGTCTCCATGCCTGGCTGTCCACTCTCACTCCTACATGTCCCCATCTCTCTCTCCCTGTCCCCATCCCCGCATGTCCCCATTCGTGTGACCCTATTTGAGTCTCTTCTCCGTGTGTCCCCATCCCGTTCCTGTCTGTCTGTCTGTCCCTGTGTTTCCATCCCGTGGATCCCCATCGCTGCCCGTGTGCATCCCTGTCCGTGTGTCCCCATCCCTGTCCGTGTGTCCCCCTCCCGCCGCTGCCGGGTCCCGGAGCCGCTCGGGGCCGGGCCCGGGGGTCCGGGGCCCCGGGCGGGGCGGGCGCGGCGGGCGGGGCCGGCGGCGGGGCGGGATCGGCTCTGCGGCGGCCGCACCGCACCGAGCCGAGCCGAGGCGAGCCGAGCCCGCCCAGCCGAGCCGGCCCCGCCGCAGCGGCCGCAGCCCCGCCGAGCCCCGCCGAGCCCCGCCGCACCGAGCCGCGCCGGGCGGAGCGGAGCCGCCGCGCCGGGGCCGCCCCGGGCCGGGCCATGCGCTGAGGCCGCCGCGCCGCCCGCAGCCAAGGGCGGATCCCGGGCAGGACACGGTGAGGCGGCGGGCACCGCAATGCGACCGGCGCGGCGGGGGCCGGGGGAGCGCGGCCGGAGCGGGGAGCGGGGGTGCTGCCGGCAGGGGCGGGGGGACCCGCGAGCCTGCCCCGCCATCTGTCCGTGCCCTCCTGCTGCCGCTGCAGCTCCATCCTGAGCGGGATGCTCGTCCCTCCCGCCCCTTCTCCCGCTCCTCCATCTCCATCCTGCCCCTCCATCCTGCCCCTTCTGCCTCTCCGTCTGTGTCCTGCTCTTCCTCTGCCGCTCCATCTCCATCCTGAGCGGGATGCTCGTCCCTCCTGCTCCTCCGACCTCCATCCAGCCCCTTCTCCTGCCCCTTCATCCCTCCATCCTGCCCTTCCCTGCCTCTCCATCTTCACCCTGCCCTTCCCCTGCTCCCTCACCCCTGCCCTGCCCTCCGTCCTGACCCCCGGGTCCCCACCAGTGTCACCCCCGGTGCAGGATCGGCCCCGGGTGGTCCCTGCCCACGAGCAAAGGGGGGGCCGTGCTCCGGACCCTCGGGCACCAGGGACTGTTGGGGTTGGGGTGCTGCTGGGCACAGGCCGTGGGGTCACCCCAAAGATCCCCCCGGTTCCGTGGGGGTCTGTCCAACCCAGCCCCTTGGCTGCGAGTTTGGGGGCACTTTTGGCTGTGCCATGGACAGGTGGGATGGACAGGTGGAACAAGTGGGATGGGACAGGTGGGACAGGCAGGTGACACAGGTGGGATGGGAGCGGTGGGACAGGGTGGGAGCATTGCCAGCCCTGGCCGAGGTTGGACGTTCCCACGCGCCAGCTCAGCCCCGGCCCCCGCTGCAGCCCCAGCCCCCAGCGCTGGTGATGCTCCCAGCGTGGTGGGATCCGAGGAGCCCACGGTGGGATGAGCTCCTGGGCTCCTCCAGCTGCCAGCCTCGCCTGCCTCTGGTGTCTGGGGACATGCCCAGGGTTTGGGGCTGCTTTGTGGGGTCCAGACCCCCCAGTGCTCTGGGATGAGGATGGGGTGACCGTGGGAAGGGGCTGCTTCCCCCAGAGATGCTCAGGGATGCAGGAGCTGCTGTACGGGGGTGTCTGGGGCACTTTGCTGTCCCCCTTACCTGAGCTGGGGTGGCAGGAGTGGAGCTGACTGGGGACAGTCCTTAAGCAGTGCTCAGCCCCCTTCCCTCCCCTCCTTCCCACTCATCCTGTGACCGGGCACCTTTGGAAACCCTGTCCCGTGGTGGGTTTAATGTCCCCAAAGCTCTGTGAGGGTCCCACACACCTTGGGGACCCTCGTGGGATGGAGCTGGTGCTGCCACCCCTGCGCTGCACTGGGGGCACCAGAGCAGGGCCCTGCACACACGACCCTTTGTGCCACCTCATTTCACATCACTGGGGGGCACTGGGGACCTTGCCCAGGTCCAGGTGTCCCCTGTGGGTGGGCACTGAGGTTTGGCAGCATGAGGGGGGCTCTGACCCATTACCCACCACCTGCAGCCCACGGCTGTGCCACGCTCCTTTCCTGCACTCCCCAACGCATCCCTGGGGTGGGAGCAGAGCAGAGGGATGGCACGGCATGGGACAGGGTGACAGGGAGTGACAGGACACCAACAGCACAACCTGCGTGTGAAAGGGCAGCTCTGTCCCTGGTCAGAGAGCCCAGCTGGGTGCTCCAGGTGCCACCGTGACCTCACTGGGCCATTTGCTGCCCTGCAGAGCTGCTCCCACTGCCCAGGCAGGCTGAGGGGGGGGTCCCTGCCCAGCGAGCCCCCCCGGCAGCCTGGGCAGCAGCTGCGGTGCCGGTGGCCGCGCTCGGCCATATGGCCACGGCGGGCGGCCGGTAAAAATAGCCAAGGCGGCCTCACCCCTCCCCAGCCGGCAAGGGCGACCCAAGGGCAGCGAGCCCAGCTCCCGGCCGGGGCTGCATCTCGGGGGGGCCACGCCTGGAGTTGGGGGGTGACGCCTCGCTGTGCCCCCGCAGCCACCGCCGGGCCAAGATGCCGGAGCAGAGCAACGATTACCGCGTGGTGGTGTTCGGAGCCGGCGGCGTGGGCAAGAGCTCGCTGGTGCTGCGCTTCGTCAAGGGGACCTTCCGCGACACCTACATCCCCACCATCGAGGACACCTACCGGCAGGTGATCAGCTGCGACAAGAGCGTGTGCACGCTGCAGATCACCGACACCACCGGCAGCCACCAGTTCCCGGCCATGCAGCGCCTGTCCATCTCCAAGGGCCATGCCTTCATCCTGGTCTTCTCGGTCACCAGCAAGCAGTCGCTGGAGGAGCTGAAGCCCATCTACCAGCAGATCGTGCAGATCAAGGGCAGCGTGGAGAGCATCCCCATCATGCTGGTGGGCAACAAGTGCGACGAGACGCAGCGC